CCGTAGTCCCACGACGCGGGACCACGTTTAAACTTACCGGTGGCCCCGTTGCTGTAATATGACGCGAAAACCGCGAAATCGCGAATGACTCTAATTTTACTTTTAAAAAAGTTGATAGATAAAAATTAAAACAAAATCTCGAAAGAACGCGGAAAATAAAAGATTATTTAAAAGATAGAATAGTATTAAAAGATTATTGAAAGATAGAATAAATTAATCTTATTTTAAAAGATAGAATAAACGAATAATAAAAATGAAGTAAAAAGTTAAAAAATAATAGAATTTTATTCGCGACTCTGTATACTTTATGTTTAAATATTGAAGAATATTAAATATTAAAGAATGTGTAGAAAAGGTGAAGGAGGGTAAATAAAAAGGAAAGAAGAATAAATTAGGGAATCTTACTTTTCAATATTCTCTTGTTTTTTTCTTTTTTTTCTCTTTTTTTTCTTTTTTTTCTTTTTTTTTTGATATAGAAAAGGTATAGGATAGGTAGTGTGTGTGTAAAAAAATGCAGAATGAAAAATAAGTAATAAAAAGTCAAAATAAGTGATTAAAACGAATGAAAGTTATATAAGTTTTAAAATATTTTAAAATATGTCGCACGGATTTTAGGTAAATCTCAAATCAAAGTTATAATTAAAAATCAAAGTTATAATATTGATTATTTTGTTAGTACGGAACGGAATTTGCGGTTTTAATTGTAATAGTAATATTTGCGTACTTTTTACGCAAAAACAGTCTCGCAACTTTTGCGAGAGTCACTCCGCTTAGCATAGCGAAGTATCTTGCTTCGACATTTCAACGAAGCATCAGTTCGCAATTTTCTTGCGAAAATGGTTTATCGAAAACGGAACGGATTTATCGAAAAAGCAAAATCAAAAACATATTTAAAAATTCGACATATTTACACATTTGAAATCTAAATTAAAATGAAGTAAAACGAGTAATTAATATTTTTACGTAAAATTTTTCGTACGCGTACTTTATTTTCTTTCACGGGATTGATTCTAGCAACGATACTTAATCGCGTATATTCAAAAAATCAAAATTAAAAATCGCGGTAGTAATAACGCTAAGTCGTTAAAATTAAAGACGTATCTGCTAATTATATTCTTTCCCGATATACTTTTCCGATAGAATGTCTCTAACATTTCTAACTTTATCGTGAAATTCTCGCGAAAAATGTACTCTTTAATCAATATTAATGAACAACAAAAATTGAAAAATATTGCAGACGTTTTAAATTAAAAAATTCCCGAAATCTAAAACCGTGTACACGACCGCGATCGCGTGATTTCCTCGCACTTGCGAGGGCCAGGGCGTCGATTTCGACGCAAGGCGAACTAAACTTCCGCAAATTGTTGAATGTGAGAAATCATCGAGAAAAAACTGGTATAAAATAATCATTCTATGAAGNAATCTCAATTGTTTCGAAACGAGTAATCAGTATATCTTTTAGCAATCTAT